CCTTGGCGGCGCTTGTGGCCTTCTGGCCCTGGGCCCTGGCCTGCCCTCTCCGCCCTCAGTTGGCCCTGGGCCCTGACTTGTCTCCCCGTGCCTTGCCCCCCCCCCCCCCGGCCTGGGCCCCCTGGCCCTTGGGCCAGCCCCGGCCCACCTGTCTGGCCACACCGGTCTGTGCCTCTCCGCTCCAGGGCGAGCGCCCGCCGCGCAGCAAACCGTCCCCAGCAACCCAGCGGGGCTACCAGTGTGGGAGGGGCCGCCGGGGGAAAAAATGCTCCCGAGCAGCGCCCAGTGTAGTACGGGGCCGCCAGGGGCCCCCACCCGCGCGGCACTCCACCAGTTCCCATGCTGGGGTGGGGCGCCGGGCGGGTGGACCGCTCCCTGGGGGCTCGAGGCCGAGCGCCCCCCGCATCAGCGGCGGGCGCCAGCTCAAAGCCACCAGCCGCGGGGAGGGTGCGCAGGCTGGGCGCTAGGCGCTAGGACGCCCGCCTGCGAGTAGGTGCCCGCGCCGGGCTGCCCGGCCCCGACAGCGGGTCTCGTCAAGCCGAGCGGAAGGAAAACATAAAGGAAGGAAGGAGGGCGGACGCTACAGCCAAGACGTTCAAATTCACCCAACGTAGGGAAAAGGAGGAGGGAAATGAGGGCCTCCCTGAAAAACGCTTCGTCGTCTGAGGGGGATCGGCGGCGAGCCCGGGAGGAAAATGAGAAAGGGCGGGCTTCAGAAGACTCGGAACGCCCCCCCCAGGCCCCCCGGCCCCCGGCCCCCCTTCGGGGAATGCCGGTGGCCTTCCCCGAAGACAGGGAACACTTCTGAGAAAGCCGGGGGCCTTCTGAGAAGCCCTGGCGCCTTCTGAGAAGGCCTTCTCTTTCTTATCACTTCCCCCCTCGCGGGCCGCCGAGGGGAAGTGGAAGGGGAGGGCCTCCCTTGAAAACGTGGGCTCGGTTTGGGCAAGAGCCGCCTCTGGCAACGGCCGGCTGCTCTGGTGGTCTGTCGGGGGGGCTCGTCGCCGCGTTGTTTTTTCAGGCCCGGGCGCAGCGCAGGGCAGCGGCAGGTCACGCTCGGGGTGCGGCGGACAGGTGCGCTGCGCTACAATGCATCATCGGAAGCAAAGGGACCGCAATTGCCCACTCGCGATCCAGCCCGCGACCCACCCGCGCTCCGGCCCAGGATTCGGCCAGGGACTCGCCAGCAACCTGCCCGCGATTCGCCCGCGACCCACCCCGCGCCCGCCCGCTCACTCTTACACGCAACTGCGGGGCGCTACTTCTTTTCATTGCGCAGCAAGGAATGGGTCCTCCTCCCCTCCTCCGACCCGGGGCCTTCCTCTCAGTGTTCGGCGACCTGGGCCTTCGTGCGGGATTACGACCTCCCCACGTTTCTTCGGGTTGACCTAGAGGCTCACTCGGCCTGGATCCTCTGGAGGCACGCCCCTGGTCCCTGATCCTCGGCTCTCTGTGCCTGGCCCCGCGACCTCCCTCCCCGTCAAGTGGTTCAAGCGTCCTGAGCAGAGTCGCATGGAAGGCGAGGCCTTCGGTGACGGCTCCTGCACGTTTTCAGTGCAGCACGACCCACGACTCGCTAGAGCGGGTTGGTCGGTGGTCCAGGTTGATGTCACTGGCTCCCTGGTCGCTTCCCTGTGCGGCTTGCTTCCAGGCCCGCACCAGGCGTCGGACCTCGCGGATGCCTTCGCCCTCATCATGTATTTGACGCATGCAGCGCTGTTTTTTTTTCGTTTCTCTTGGGCTGCGCGTGGGTCGTCTCGAGTTTTTCGCGTGGGCGCGCCGAGACGACGGGCGCACGGTGCGAGTCCGTGGACCTCTGGCCTCGGATATAGGATCGGGTGGACGACCTTGGCGGTGGGGTGGAGTGCTCAAGGTGAAAGGCCGTGCTCGCCGCAACCAGGACGGCGACGTCGAGCGAGGTATGGTCGGGCGGTGGGGCAATCACTATGCTGACCGTGGCGCTCGGGAGGGCGCCTCCCTCCACCCTGCCGGCGAGGCGGCGACGGAACCGTTTCGCCTCGTGACATCCGTAGCCAAGTTATTGGCTCATGTCATGTGGACAGCGGGCCCGAGCCGGCAGGATGCACCGCGGCACGGCCTCGTGCGGCACGCGCAGCAGCGAGGTCGCGTCCCCGAGCTGACGGCGGACACAGTGCCGCCCGACGGTTCCCACGAGCCCGTTCCGTGCGGCAAGGGCTTCCGATGCGCCCGCTGCTACCGCGTCGAGAGGGCGCGCGGCGCCTTCCTCCCCGCTGTGTGCGCCCCAGGAGGAAACCATCGCCTGTGGAGCGTGAGCTCCTTTCTTTTCTGCGCGAGGTGCGGGACGCATTCGAGCGCGATCGCCCAGCTCCTCGCGCAGCCTTGCCTCGGGGCTGTCCCCCCACAAACGCGGTCCCGCTTGGGGCGCCTATGGGCGGGTCAGCGCCCGCGCACTGGCCCGCCGCTGCCGCCCTCGACCAGCGGGCAGGTTCGTCCACAGACGTTCGCGGACTTCGTCTTCGACGCCCCGGTCGGAAACCTGGTCGTCGTGGGCGAAGACGCTGACGGCGTGTACGCCCCTGGCCGCGCCTGCTGGCCAGCGTCGGGAGGTGCTCGGGCAACTGTCCCTTGTCGGGTTTGCGCCCGAGTCGCCTAGCCGCGCCTACACGGCTAGTCGCCGTTCCTGTTGGAAAAGTCATCCCCTGTGGGAGACGTCCCAGGCCAGGCTGGTGGCGACACCTGCAGACTCCTCTCTGTGCGTGACCCTCAAGGCGCACGCGTCTCTGCGGGGTGTCCTGCGGCCATGTGCCCTATGCAGGCGCCATCCCGCAGGGGGTGGGTTAGCATTGCCCGATCGCCCCTCTCACAGGTTAT